CAAAAACAGAATTTTGCTATCATAATAATATTGCCTTTGATAATGATCTTAATTGTGTTTTATAAATTATAATATATTTGTTAGCATCATCAATAACAATTTGGTAAAATCTGCATGCCTGAATGGAGGAGACATATGCTGTACAGTATATACACTACCTAACCTCAGTCTTGTCGTCAATCTTAGTTAACGCAACAAATAATATCTTGACTTCTAGTTGATCCATTGAAAAAGTGGCAGAAGGTATATTTTTTTTTACAGATGAATCATCTGTTAAACTGCATCCTAATCATCACAAATACTATAGAAGACCTATCGGAACCCCGCATGAACCGAAGATTCTCACATAAATCAGTCAAGTTTAGTGAAGGAAAAATCATGGTTTGGGGTTACATTTAGTAGAGGGCAATTCTTTAGCGGGATAGCGCTCCTTCTCATACTTCAGCCTCCACATCAAAGTTTCTGAAAGCTAAGTAGGTCAAAGTGCACCCGCATTGGCCAGCCCAGTCACCAGATTTGAACATTATTGAGCATGTCTGAGATAAGATGAAGAAGAAGGCATTAAAGATGAATCCAAAGAATCTTGATGAACTCTGCCTTTGCCTTTCACATAAGCCACTTTATATTAAATGATCAACTAGAAGTCAAGTTATTATTTGTTGTTCCTAAAACTTGGAAAGGTGACAAGACTTTTGTCAGGTAGTAATATACATATACATATAACATTTAAATCTACACATAGAATTCTCTAACTAATTTACATTCACATCCATATGAACAGCTCATGTACAGTAAATCATCATAGTTTAAATAAGAGAAAGGCAGTTTGATAGAGTTACAGAATGATTTGCTGTGCTCTGAATAACAGTGGTTTTCTACTGTCTGCTCCAGCACATCATGTCTCCTGCTGGAGGAGATTCAGCATCTCTGCCATAAATCTCAATGACATGAACTACTGTTACTGTACAGTCAGTGCAGTTATAGTGTATGTGTGTGTGCTCTCACTCCTCACTCATAATGTGTGTGTGTGCATTTGGATATGTCAAGTATTCTTAAAACTCTACTTCTATTGAACATAAAAGAAGATATTTTGAAGAATGTTGGAAACTAGTAGCCATTGAGTTCCACAGTAGGAAAGACATGCATGACGTACATTTTTTATTATTATTATTATTATTATTATTATTATTATTATTATTATTGTTGTTGTTGTTATTATTATTATTATTATTATTATTATTATTATTATTATTATTATTATTATGGTTGTTCTTCTTCTTCGTATTATTATTATGGTTATTATTATTATTATTATTATTATTATGGTTGTTCTTCTTCTTCTTCTTCTTATTATTATTATTATTATTATTATTATTATGGTTATTATTATTATTATTATTGTTGTTGTTATTGTTATTATTATTATTATTATTATGGTTATTATTATTATTATTATTATGGTTATTATTATTATCATTATTATTATTGTTGTTATTGTTATTATTATTAATAATAATAATACACCCATTTATAATAAAACTGCAATGTTTTCATGACTATATAAAATATATATTATCTTACAAACCGGTTGAAATGACCTAAAAAGGAGTGATTTAGCTTACGAAACACTGTGCTGTCATAACCTCCAGAACTTCTTAATGTGTTTTCTATTGAATTTAAATGCAGCAGAGAATCAGAGTCTCTCTGTGGGATTTCTAGACACATATTTTGAGCCTAAAGCACTTGGACACCTCCATCTTTCAGGTCTCCTAATTCTGTGTCAGCTCTTCATCTTCAGACTGAAGCGAGGCTTTCCCCAAACCCCAGGTCACCCTCACTAAAGATAGAAACATGACACACTTTCTGTCTGACACACTTTTGAGTGGTCTCAGTGCTGGAGAGTGTAAAGACTGGTAGTGTTTTGGTGGAGAAAAGCACCAGCAGCTCCACAGGTGTTCAGCGCATCTGCTGGTCCCTGAAAGACGCTGTCGTTCTTCCGTTAACCTGTCATGCCATTGGTTTCTCACACCTGTCCATTAGATTCAGCTAAACTCCAGTGGGATTCTAGCACTGTCAGACACACTTTCAGCTGATTGCGTCAGCAAAGGTTCACTGTATTGAATGGATAAATCCATCACAGCAGGATCTCAACTGATGGACTGGAGTATGAAGGACACACCAGGGAATCCTTACACTTCAGGCTGAACTCTTAAAGGGCAAATATATTCTGAATAAAAGTTTTGTAAGTAATATTTAAACATTCTTCTGGGGGCATATTTTAATTGCATCTCCTTCAATGGAGGTCATGACCGCCAGAGTCAGGTCAGACACTCAGGATAGATCTGAGTATTGATTCAGATTCGCAATATCAGTTCAATGTGATTATTGATTTAATATTTGACATATTGATTCTTCTAAAAATAACAAACAACAGTTTAGAAATGGGGATTTTGTGAAAACAGATATGTGCCACAAACTTGTATATTAAAAGTTCACTATACTACATTTATGGACTTTTAATGCACAAGTTTGTGGCTCGTATTTGTTTTTGAACACTCAAAAATCCCCATGCTACAGGGGGCCAAAGTTGTAAATGTGTGACGTTGCTTGTGTGTACGCCTGAACACAAAAATAGCAGCTGAGAGATAAAAACTACTCAATGTTTTTTTTTTTTTTGTAAACAACTCTAAGTCTTTAAATTCCCTCTGTGAGCAATCATACAGGTGCGGATACGTCTGCAACAGCTCTTCTACTTGACTCTCCATTGTATTAATTTATTAGTGTTGTTGTATTTGATGTTGTTCTCATGTCTGAAATGAATTGCACGTCAAAGGATGCAGAGTTCAGAGATTGCGTAAATAACCAATGGTAGCTTAAGGTGTTTATATGGCAAAGTTCGCTTTGGTTTTGAGCTACCAAAACAACATCAAAATATACATTCTTTGGCTGGAATTTATTCAAAAATAACATTATTTCAATTCGTTCTTTTGTTTAAAGTATACTGGGGGCTTAACAATGTGCTTAAGCATGCTAGAAACATGTTAACAGTTAGTTAAATTATGTTTTAAAACTTTTTATGTTTGCAACAGGTCTAAGAAAACTCTCATTTCATCATAATACCCGGACTACACACCCCACCATGCACTGCACCAATTCAGACTCTGATTATCTTCTGCAAACAATACACTCAAAAATATATTTTTTTACTTGCTTAAATTACTTATTTAAAATGAGCAACTTGATTTTTTTAGTTCAATCCACATAAATTAGTTAAATGTGTTAACTTAATCGATTTGTCTTGGCACAACCTAAATTAATTGTGTGAAACCCAGCATTTTTTTCAGTGTAGGAGTTTTTCGGGAGAAATAACAAAAAATGGGAGGGTGGTGAGAGATTGGTGTAAAATACATTATATTAAATTATTGGCAATTTTACTTAGCCATATGCTAAAATGTGCTAGAAACAGGCAACATGTTACTTGTTTCCTTGATTTGATTCTTGGACTGTTTCTTGCTTTATAAATGTCTGTCTTCTGCCCGGCCCTCTGGTAATCTATTGGATTTACTCTTTTTGGGTTATCTTTTTTGTTGTTTTTCTCCTGTCTCGAACTTTGCCTGTCTGACCAGTCTTTATAATAAAGTTCCCTTTTGTCCACTTTATCACCTTCTCTGCAAATGAATTGTAAAGGCTACAAGTGGAACTCTGCTGCAATACCCCAATCATTACTATACTTAAAGCTACAAGTATATTTAAAGTTCAAAATAGAATCAAAATTTACAATATTTTTACATTTTTATTATTTATGTGAGCAATTAATCTGTACAAGTAACTCCACTGTTTTTTTAGTAAACTTGTGTCACAATCACCAGCGATCTAATCCTTTCAGATCACTGATATACATGTGGATCACTAGAGAACTACACACACCACACTAAAGAACTGCATATCCAGTCATGCACCGCTCACACACACCTATTCTGGGTTCCATTTATCACACACACACACACAGCCAGAGGATCGTTATGAACTCATTACAAGGACTATTTAAACAGCACACACACACGCATTTCAGAGCTGAGTCTTGTTTATCTGTGAGCATTACGATGCGTTTTTCCTTGTTTAGCCTAGCCATGTTTTGACCTTGCTTTGTCTTTTTTTTTTGATTCATTGCTTCCCTGACCTTTCTCCTAATAAACGCTTAATTTGGATCCTCAACTCAGTTGTCAACCTCCTATCACATAACAACTTCGATCAAAGTTTACCACGCCCTTCTTACCATTAGTTTGCTATAAGGAAATTGTGTACAAAAGGAAATCCCCGCCCACTACTCAATTTTCCGTTACAGTAAGAATTACATCAACATACTAATATAAGTCTCAAAAACTTCAGATTTACACTGACTTTAACAATATATATTTTTTAGAAACAAATATTCAAATTTAAACTCAAATTCCAACAGTACATCAATGATAATAAAACCGCAGATTAAAGTTTGCACAACCTCATCTTTTAGAAACAGGCAGTTTTGTTTGGTCTGTGACAAAGCATCTTGAATGTGAGAGATTCAGCACCAGTTGTGGCATATTGAGTTTTTCTAATGGGCATCATGAGAATTTTATTTTCAATACGCAGACATACGCTTCACTGTTAAGGGTTGTGACTTTGGCATGATATGTGAGCAGACATTTTGTGCTTAGTCTTGAGAAGGCATCATTGTTTTTGCTATAATGACAGGCCAGTGCTGTCTTATATAAAGAGCTGTTGTCTGTAGTTATTATTAATCATGTTGTATATTGACATAAATCTGAAATAGGCATCTATGTAACATGTAGAACAAACTCAGACTTTTATCCGCATGTTTCATGACATAATTGTAGTGTTGCCTTAACAATATTTGCTTTACAGGTGGTAACTGTCACATCCCAATAATATTTACTACAGATTTACAGACAATATTGTTAGTTAATGTATGTGTATTTCTCAATACATTTCGATATCAACTTTCAATCTTCAGCAATAGATTTATTTTTTAATATCACAAGGGACACACAGTTATACTCAAATTATACACAATTTAAAACACAATTTTACATAATGGTTGAAATAACCTTGGATAACATGGTGAACAATTAACAATCAATTAACAGCAACTTAACAACATTTGTTTACATCATTTGAAATAAATTTTAACACTATTTTCCATAAAAATATTTTAGGGCAGTAAACCAAAGAGCATCATTGTAGCTGAGAACATGTTGATAATTAATATACATGATCAGTTATATTATTTAACACGGTTATCTTTTATCTTTTAAATGATCATACAAAAAAGCATGCGTGACAATATTAAGGTCCTTTTAAGTTAAAGTATTTTAATCCGTTAATATAATAACTTTTTTTGAGTGACACACTTAACTCTCTCAAATTAATTTGTTTTAAAGTGTCTACTGAATGACTAAAATTTAATACCCCCATTTGTTATCCCAAACTCATTTTCTCCCATTACTGGTAAAATCACTGTGCCACACAATCTCTCTGCCTGTACATGTTGCTTAATCTGAAAATTTGGGGAGTCCATCAGTTTTCTTCAGTGTGTGTTTGAGGCTATTGAGCAAAAGAGGCAGTGCAGTGTTATATTAAGGCAGGCAGTCCTTCTTTTCTGAGCTCGTATTCAACATCTACACGACTGGACCAGCACACAGACTGCTCTCATCTGACTCTCAGCAGTATCTGATATGTTCTGAAGCTGGATTTCTCTGTTTTTGGCTTTTAAATGTGTATGGTCATATTTGCCCCGGTAAGTCCTGGCTTCACACTGTCTGTTTGTCTGATTGCAGATAAGTGATTTGATTCCTTGAGCTACAATAACTCGATACTACTAATAGTCTGTAGTGTTTTGTGTTGGAAGATGTTAGTTTTGATTTTGGTGCAGTTAATTCCAAGACTTTAGGTCTCCATAACGTCCCATTTGTCAGTCCTTTTAGGTGCTAAATTTGCTCTCACATCATACTGAATCAGTCATAATTCAGAATGAGTCTATTTTTGGTTGATTATGAATACTCGTTATTCAGAATCAATGAGCAAAAGATGTCTTTTGGCTTGACAGCAAAGGTTTAGATTTTCTTCTGTTTGTATGGTAGTGTTTTTGGACTGCAATTCTGAGTTGTTGTAATTCAATTTTGGGTAAATTGAAACTAACACAGTTTCAATTTACCAGAACTTCTATGTTAAGCTGCTTTGACACAATCTACATTGTAAAAGCGCTATATAAATAAACATGAATTTAATTTAATTGAAATATGGACAAACCTAACATTTGGGTTAAAAAGTGTCATTTCAATTTAATTTAATAAATAACTTAATGTTGGGATTTTTTTCATATTTGACCAAACATTAGCTTACAACATCCCAGCATATTTTAGAGTGCATGAAACAAGTGTGTCTGTAGTGATCAGCTGTGAGGAGTTTTGCTGCATATATCTATCTGTGTGTGTTACCATGGTGACATCATAGATATTAATTATTGAAGAAAAGATCATCAGAATAGACAAAGTTATAAGCATACTTCTAAACTATTACAAATAATCTACACTTTAAAAAATCTAAAAATAAATAATTTAAATAAAAACTTCTTATTCTTATTTAGTTTATTAAATAAATAAAGAGATGGACTGACGGATGGACTGAGAGACAGATAGATATTTCTTATCTCAGTTTATTTTTTCTAATAATTAATTGAATTGCAGTCTATGTTTCTGTCTGTCTGTCTGTTCGCTGTCTGTCTGTCTGTCTGTCTGTTCGCTGTCTGTCTGTCTGTTCGCTGTCTGTCTGTCGGTTTGCTGTCTGTCTGTCTGTCTGTCTCTCTGTCTTTCAACATTTCCGGATTTCTGAGTACTGGAAGGCGTCATGGTTGGGTAAACCAAGACAACAGTGAATAGGAGAGCACAATAAATAATTTTATTACAATCCCATTTACTGAAATAATAAAAGAAAAACTCCTCGATGGTATTATGAAGACTTTTAGAAAAAGGAAAAAAAATAGTGTGAGACTGATGATGTTAGCCAGAGGAGAGAATAATGTCAAATTTAATCTCAGCACTATAGATGCTGCATTAGAAACCCCTCGCATAAGCGGTAACTAGTTTTTTGTAATTTGATGCAAAGATGATATAATACACACATAAATGCATATAAATGTTCATACATTATTTTAAAAATCTAAATATTGAAAAATTTCACATGATGACTGTTAAACTGTCATAACAGTCTTGTGAAAAGAGTCAATCCTCCACATCCCCAAAAGTGTTTGATTCTGAAGACAGGGGCAGTACCTTATATCTACAAAATCTGTGGAGACATCTATGTCAGTCCCTCTTGTCAGGTTTAAAATAATAGGTTTATAGAATTTATACAAGTTAAATAATTTATAATTTATGTGTTTATATAATTTATAATTTATATAATTTATGTATATATAAAAATAAATATATATATTTATAGGGTGGCTCAGTGGGTAGTGTGGAGTTTGCATATTCTCCCTGCGTTCCCATGGGTTTCCTCCGGGTGCTCCAGGTTCCCCCACAGTCCAAAGACATAAATTGTCCATAGTGTATGAGTGTGAATGAGTGTGTGTGGATGTTTCCCAGAGATGGGTTGCGACTGGAAGGGCATCCGCTGCGTAAAAAACTTGCTGGACAAGTTGCCAGTTCATTCCGCTGTGGTGACCCCAGATTAATAAAGGGACTAAGCCGACAAGAAAATGAATGAATGAAAAAAATTGTATAACCTTTGAAACACAGTATAATTTGTTGGTTGTTTTCCTATAGAAAATAATAAATGGTGTGAGGATTTCTTGTTTGGTGGACTACAGAAAAGTATTTCCAGGAAATATTAAAATAGATGTTTATGCTTGCCATATTATTACATCATTAATGCCTTTTTACTACAGAATTCTTCAAATTTTGTTGCCTATTTTCAAAAAATAAATGTTGAGCATTTCGATTACTCAGTTTATGTTTGTTCACATTATGCACTCTCTCTTGAATCATGAGTATATTCTTGCAGAACGACTTGTGTCTGGCATCATTGAGATGTATTGCCTCTGACAGAAAGCCCATTCTTATATCAAAAATGAGTTTAGGCAAGTCAGTTTAGCTCAGAGGGCTTGTGTTATGGGCTTCATAAAACTAGCCTTCACAACAGAATCATGGCCTAAATAAAAAAGGGTCATGACAAATAAAGAGGGAAATAGTGGGAAAGAATGGTTGCTATAGACATATCTGCAGAGGTGTTAAAGGACAAATGCTTAACTCTACTTAATTAGAGAGAGACGTGTAGTTGGTGTGATCACTGTTATGAAAGCTGTTCAGGCATCATAGTTTCGCTCAATGTTTGCAAATACCCTTTGCAAATGTGTTTGACGCCTCCGGATGAGAATTAATCACCTGTTTACAATGGCTCCCACTTAATTGAAATTGACCACAGACTCACATTGCTGGAGCTAATCTAGAATCTAAATAAAACAATAATGATTAGGCCAATTAACTCGGCTAGAAACTGTCCTTTCTAGCTGGTGTGGAAACATTTCTCATGTCAATGTAGAGTTTTTGTAACATACTCGCTGAAATCCTTGGACCTCCTTTTTCTTTCAAAACTGTTTTAATGCTTTGTTAGACCGACTATTTTTAAATGGACATCACTAATAATCTTATTACTTGCCTTAATCTGAATTAGACACTAATAGAATTAAGGTGTTTACATGAGTTGCTTTTTGAATGTTGCGTTCATGATCCTTTTTTACATGTTATAGTACAAAAGGTGTGTCCCGCATAATCACATACTTATGCACTATTCTACGCCATTTTGTAGTATAAATAGTGTAAGTATTGCATTTACACTGAAAACTACGCTAAAATGAATAAGTGCACTTTAAATACCCTGATGATGCACTCATTCACTCAGTAAAATTAAGTGTGGAATGTTTTACACTTCACGCACTCAATGGCTGCTGCTTTGCTTACGTAGCAGAAGGGGCGGAGCTTTCAGGCACTGATGTTGGATTATTTGTTTTGGATTGTGAGAGCTAAATTCTCCTAGAGAGTAATTATACCGCCTCCCAATGGTTAATGTGGTTATACTTATAGCAGATATTATTTGGTAGTTTTGTCATTCATTTTACTAATTTGGCAACTGTCAAACATCATCTGGGAAACGGTTTGAATTTCCACTTAGGAAAAAAACATGTGCTTCATTTTTGACGAGACTATACATTTACTACACTCAAAAAAAGATTTTTTTTGCTAGTTCAAACGACTTTTTAAAAAAGAGCTGAAACAACACCATCTTGAGGTTTCATTGGGACAGCTTAATTTTTATATGTTCAATCCACATAAATTTGATCAGTGTTAAGTTAACTTAATCAATTTGTGTTGGGACAATATGAATAAATTGTGTGGAACCCTCATTTTGTACAGTGTATGCAGTTGAGTGTGTAAGTGCATAAGTACATTGTGCATAAGTGTATAGTGCATTGTGTGCCATTTGGGATGCAGCTATAGTTCGAATAACACCATTACGTCACAATTCGTTTCTGTGGCGTTTTACACAACAACAGTTTGTCTTCGTCATGGCACCATATGAGATTTTGGACATTTCATTTTCATTTTTTTTCGACAAGTTCAACTGCAGTTAATTTCTCACACTATGCATGCAAACTGGCGACGTTGGATACCCCTCTGCCATTTCAACTTTTATTCATGCCCTCGTGACAAAGTCACTTTAAAGTCGAAGCACATCATGTTGTTCATTTCTTCCCAATATCTCAGCATAGTCATCACACAAAAAATGTGCTCTCTTGCTTGAAACCATTCTCATTTATTTGTTGTCAAAGGCCTGTCAATTGTCTTCACACAGTTCCAGCAGATTTCTCATGATATGAATCCACTGTTACAAAACATCGCAAAGGTGCTTTACCAGATTAGGATCTGGTGACTCTGGATGTCATTTAAGTCTAATGAGCTCTCTACAAAGTTCAGAAAACTAGGTTGTAGTGATTTGAATTGGAAGCCTAAACAGCTTGTATGGTGCAGGATGGATCCATGCTGTTTTTGCCAAATTCTAATCCCACTATACAAATTTCAGAACAAAAATTGGCACTTGGATTAGACAACCTTCCTAAAATTCATCTTTAGTTTTGATCAGCTCACGTGTGTTGTATCCTCAGTTTGCTAATGCTTCTTCTGCAGCTGTAACTCAACTGCTATCTGAAGTCACTCCTATATACCCTTAAATTGAGCGCTAATTCTGGAAGGAACCATTTGTAGTGTTGTCTAACACCATAGTCGACATTCTGATAAATAAATGAGCATATAACTGATGTAAACCTATGGGCTAGACTCTGGTCCAACTCAAAATACTTTGTATCACCAGACAGACAGCTCACTATGTGTCAAATAACTTTAATGCTTAATGTTTTCATTCACTTCTTCAAATGGACTGTATTCGTGACTAATGTGGAGAATTGTGAATGAGGGTATGAAGGTCATTTTGTATACAACTGAAGTGTTTACTGTTCAAAACAACTTTCTATGCTCTAACACCACCAGTTTAACCCTTTGTCCAACTGCATGATCTAAACTGAATGGCCCATTTCCTTGTGTGGTGATGGTGAAAAATAACTGGATTGATCCCATTTGGTGACATTAACTCCATGGGGATCTATAGATTAGATTAGATTACATTCAACTTTTTTGTCATTACACATGTACAAGGCAACGAAATGCAGTTTAATTCTAACCGGTGCAGTAGCAGCAAGTGCAGGATATAGGTATAAGTTATAAAGTGCAGTTATAGAAAAACTATGGCTAATATTTACAGATTGACGTACTATGAACATTATACACAGGTTCATTCATTCATTCATTTTCTTGTTGGCTTAGTCCCTTTATTAATCCGGGGTTGCCACAGTGGAATGAACCGCCAACATATCCAGCAAGTTTTTACGCAGTGGATACCCTTCCAGCTGCAACCCATCTCTGGGAAACATCCACACACACATTCACACACACACACACTCATACACTGCGGACAATTTAGCCTACCCAATTCACCTGTACCGCATGTCTTTGGACTGTGGGGGAAACCGGAGCACCCGGAGGAAACCCACGCGAAGGCAGGGAGAACATGCAAACTCCACATAGAAACGCCAACTAAGCCGAGGTTGGAACCAGCGACCCAGTGGCCTTCTTGCTGTGAGGCGACAGCACTACCTACTGCGCCACTGCCTCGCCCCTTATATACAGGTTGAATAACTATAAACTGAGAATAACAATAGATGAATATATGTACAATTTGCTATTAATAATCAGAAGTATGCAGATAGATATGAACATAATTACAAATGTAAATGCACAAAGGATATGTACAATTCAAATAAATGAGTGCAATGTAGTGAAATGAATATGTGCAATTTTAATTGTGCAAATATTAAATAGTGCAGTGATTATGGGGAGTATAAGTTTTGAGGAGAGGGTGGGGGTGTATGAGGGGGCAAAAGAGTCACTGGGGGGCAAAGTTCAAAAGGGAGACAGTTCTGGGGAAAAAGCTGTTCCTGAATCTGCTGGTTTTTGTCCGGGGGAGCCTGAAGTGCCGGCTGGAAGCATGCCTGTGAGCAGGGGGAGACGAGCACGATCTCATGATAAAACGTAACTATTTTAAATATTGTCATAAAAGTGGCAAATTTGTATGTGTGATTTTTAACATTTTAAAGTCAGGCGTGCTCCCAACCGACCCCTAAACCTACTCTATTATGTGGACGAGCAAATCATACAAAAATGAACAAAGTAATAAGAATTAACCACTAAATCAAACGATTATGTATTGCTGTGAGATTGCATTCGCATTATTATATCATTCATTTGTACAGTACATTCACTTGTTCCTAACTGGATATTTTTTCATTTGTGAGCTCGAAATGGTTGTGTGTTTGCAGAAATGGTTGAAGAAATGTGAGTTTGCACAAATGGTTGTGTGTGAAATTCCCAGTAGATGAGAAGTTTCAAACCAGCTTGTCAGTCACCAACAAACACGCCACATTTAAAGACACATTAATTACCTGCCTTTCCCATTCTGATCAGATGACCGTATTTACAACGTCTACATGCCTAACTGCGATAAGCTGCTCACATGTAGTTGGCTGATTAGAAATTTGTAATAATGAGCAGATAAACAGGTCTATATAATAGAGTGGTTTTAAATGGATGTATGACTAAATGATCAGACACTATAATGTCATAATTGTAAAACTGTTGTGCATCATGTTATGTTCCCTCAGCTTTTTGCCATCTTTGCTTTTGCAACATGTGGAGGTTACTCTGGGCAAATGCGGGTTAGTGTGGACTGCATCAACAAGTCTGACAGCAACCTCAGTATTGCCATCAACTTCGCTTACCCATTCAGGTAAGGCTCATTTATAGCAACGCTGAATATTCTCTGCAGAGAAGTATTTGATTATGATCATTTTATTTTTATATTCTCTGTGTGTGCTGACAGTTACAACTGCAAAAATTCTTTATTAGTTCAATTAATGAATCTGTGAATCTAAGGGAAACTGCTTTACTTTCTGTCCTGCCTTATCCCAAACTGTTTGATTAGGACTGGCCAATTAGAATCTGAAGAAAACCTTATTTGCTCCATATTTTAATTTCGAAGTGTGGTTTATTTATAAGTGAAGTTTATTTATAAGCTAATTTCAAGAGGATCATGTGCTTATGATTGCTTGCAGCCGGTCACGCATTATTCAATTTATGATTCACCAATCGGACGATTTCTAAGCCACTATAAATACCCTAAGTTCCATATAACAGCCATGTTCGTTTTGAAGAATCCCCCCTTCCACCCCTACTCCTCCTTCTTTCCTAGATGGGTGGCACATTGGCTCAGAGGTTAGCACTGTTGCCTTACAGCAAGAACGTCAATGGTTCTAGTCCTTACCAAGCCAGCTGACATTTCTGTGTGGATTTAACACGTTTTCCCCATGCTCACATGGGTTTCCCCCGGGTTTCCCTGTTTCCTACCACCATCCAAAAACATGCAACTTAAGTTACTTGACAATCCAAATCAGCACCATGGACATGCTCCTAGTAAGTAGTTATCTCTTAAGAGCTATTACTATCTGTTCATTAGCTACTACAGCAGTGGAGTTCTCAAGATCTACCTGAGCTCAAACTCTCCTCTCGCCTTGCAAATGAAAGAGATCCCCAAGCTCGAGGATCTGATGAGCTCAGGGCTCTCTCCCGGGACAGCATGCCAAACAAGCTTTATAATCAATCATGAGCTAAGTGTGAACTCTTGAAAGTAATTTTGAGAGGATCACGTGCTTATGACTGAACACAGCTGGTAACGCATTAACTCCGTTTATATGCACCAATCAGATGAATACTGACACACTATAAATTACCACAGCTTTCTATTCCAGTCATCTTCGTCTCGAAGAATCCCCCCTTTCCACCCCTACTCCTCCCCTTCTCTGATAGGGCAGCACGGTGGCCCAGTGGGTAGCACTCTTTCCACACAGCAAGAAAGCTGCTGGTTCGGCCCTCTCCAAGCGGGTCAGCGTTTCTGTGCGGAGTTTGCATGTTCTCTCCATGTTTAGCATGGGTTTTTCCTGGGTTCTCCAGTTTCCTCTCACCATCCAAAGACATACACCATAAGTAAATTCACTACTTCAAAATAGCATCCTAATGCCACTCTTAGTCAGATATTCACAAGCAGACAGCAGTTCACAAGTAGGGGAGTTCTCGAGACCTACCTGAGCGCAAACTTTCCTCTCACCCTTTAAACAGGAGGGAGTCCCGGGCTCAAGGATATTCTAAGCTCAGGGGCCTCTCCTGGCACAGCATGCCAAACACGCTTTATTATCAATCATCAGCTAAGTGTGAACTCTTGAAAATTGTAAAGGGAAGGCACTGTGGCTAAATAGTTAGCTGGGCCAGTTGGCCTTTCTGTGTGGAGTTTTCATGTCCTCCCCATGTTGAGGTTTCCCCCACAGTCCAAAGACATGCTATGGGTGAATTGGATGACCTTAATTGGCCATAGTGGATGAGTGTGTCTATGAATGTAAGAGTGTTTCCCAGTTTACCATGGGTGTTTCCCAGTACTGGGTTGCTGCTGGTTGACAATGGTTCATTTCGCTGTGGCGACCTCAGATAAATCAGAAAGTAAGCCCAAGGAACATGAATCATGAATGAATGAATGAATGAATGGATGGATTGATGATTGAATGAATGAATGAATGAATGAATGAATGAATGAATAGATGAATGAATGAATGAATGAATGAATGAATGAATGAATGAATGAATGAATGAATGAATGAAAATAGTAAGGACAGCTGTGTTCACTGATGTCAGCTTTTGCATGTATGTTTCATATAATTGATGGACGATGTGATTTATTTAAAAATGCATATACTGAGTACATGTAAAATGGAAGGTTCAGCCTTTAAAAATCCTGCAATGAATTGTGTTTTGTTTGTAAAATGAAGTGAACAAAGGACAAAGTTCTTAAATTACAAATAACATTCGTCCTCTTTCCTAATGTTAAGGGCAGAAAGAAAGTAATGCAAAAAATAAATAAATCCAAAACTTGGCACGACACAGTGCCTTGTTGTCTTCTGAGCATATTTATAATTTGGTTTTTGCATAAACTAGCATTGGAATCTTTCGTTATTTTTATACTGACTCCAGTGTGAATCAGTGGGTTTAGCTAAACAGGCAATGATGTAGAAGAAGGCATTGAAGATCCTATCATACATCCGGCGCAATGCGGTGCAAGGCGTGACGCAAATGTATTTGCTAGTTTCAGCTTGATGCTAGAGTCATTTTGACATTTTGCACCACGCTGTTTAAATAGCAAATGTATTTGCGCTCATGTGTGCCCATAGGTGCTTAGGTAAAAAAAGGAGGTGTGTCAAGGCACAATTGTGGCATGTTGCTAATTTGAGAAACTAAAATAGACTGCGCAATAGACCAGCTTAAAGCAGGGCTAAAGTGCAGAGCAGAGCGCGTTAGTTGTATGCCTCGCTTACACATACACACAGGATGCACAGCATAACGTAAATATCTTTAAATGGAAAAGAATTAAAGGATCAAAATATTACAATAGTTACTTTTTTATACATAAATATAAAAACCACTGCCCCCATGCCTTGTTCATCTCGGGGGGCTTTTTTTTTAGTTTATTCATGACAATTTGCTTTTGTACAATATTACTATTATCAATAGTATTATTTATTATATCCCTATTTATATTTGTTTTATAAAAAATAAGCTTAGATTTGCCCACCTGTCAGATTTTAGACCATATGAGACATGGCATGTGTTTTTGTATATAACTCAGTTTTTTGACCACACTTTGTCATTATTGTTCATTTATTTGTTTGCTGGAAATTAGGACTGAATTTTGGAAAAGTTTTTAAAACTAACCTTTGTGCTTAACAAGCTAAATTAACTATTTAGGCTAATGGATGTCTGTGCGTACAACACGTTTCCTTATCCACGAAAGAGAGAAAGTGAAGGTAAAGGAGGCTCATCTCTCATTTGCATGCTGAAGATGGTCTGTTTGACTGTTTTCTTTCATGAAGCATTCAGTTTTTCCACGTACGAAGTCTGCCATGTAAATAGCAAATGCGCCATGGTGCGACTCAAGAACTCTTAAAGGTATGGGAGATGAGACTCTGATTGGTTTATTCTCAAAACACACCCATAACTCATTAAGAGAATAAGCTCAACCCTGTTAGACCATGCACCACAGCGCAGAGTGTATTTTTCTGTCCCTAAAATAGCAAAAGTGTATTCGGACACGCCCTTAATGCTTTTGCGCCTAGATCATTAAAATAGAGCCCTGGATCTTATATGGAGGCGGAGTTTAGACACACTACTACAAGATAAAGGGGCTTATTCACAATGTGTGATTTCAATATAATCTGATTTTAGGCAATTTTCTTTCTAACAAGGTAACATACAAGGTACTTTTTATAGTACAATGACATCTTATTTGTAAAAAGATCAAGGGAATTTAGATTTGTTTGGATCATGACCCCATTAAGTGTTTAATCACATTTTCAGCTGACAGATTACCAGTTAGTTTTCAACTATTTTGTTGAACAGTGAAACCACCTAAGCAACCTAAAAGCCTATCTTCAGTTTCTCAAAGCCAGCAAGACATTCTTTCTGAAGACAGAAACACCTTCATTCATTTGTTCTCAAGAAATAAACCAGAAAGCTGACACATATGCTGGAAAACACACATTGGTTTCCATTGTGGTAACAGAATTACAAAAGGCATCCAATATCATTTTAAAAAACAAAAGGTAACTAAGTGCTGTAATGAAGCGTCACTATAATTTAGTGTAGATTAATGCTTTTGATAGGCTGGAATTCTTTTACACTCACAAACATTTACTTTAAAAACTGCTGAAATCCACACAATCCCTTCATTTTGTCCTACTCAAATTAACTAAGTTAACTTAATGTTTTTTTATCATTTTAGGTTGATTCTTTCATTTCATTTTCCTTCAACTTAGTTCCTTTATTCATCAGTGGTTGCTACAGTGGAATGAACCACCAACATATCCAGCATATGTTTTATACAGCGGATGCCCTTCCAGCTGCAACCCAGTACTGGGAAACATCCATACACACTCATTCATACACATACACTATGGCCAATTTAGTTTATTTAGTTCAACTATAGCGGATGTCTTCGAACTGTGGGAGAAACCGGAGCACCCGGAGGAAACCCACATAAACATGGGGAGAATATGCAAACTCCACACAGAAATGCCAACTGTCCCCGCTGGGACTCAAACCAGCAACCTTCTTGCTTTGAGGCGTCAGTATTAACCACTAAACCACCATATTGTATACCATACCATATAAGTTGATTGAACATAAAACAACATAGTTGTCCCTAAAACACAAGAGCTGTGCTGTTTCAGCTCAATTTCAAGAGTAGTTTGAGCAAGGAGCAATAATATTTTTATGAGTGTTGTGTCCAAGTTGTTGCCCTGAAAGGTCAACCACGCACACAAAATGTCCAAAGCAATATGAAGAAGCCCTCAGGTTATTCTGTATGCTTGAGCTTTAAGTTCATAGTTATCAAAGAAGGACAAGACAGAAACAGACAGAAACTAAAGTAACCTTATAACAGGAATGTTACGCTAGTCTGATGCTGACAAAACAAGAGTGATGTTTTTTGTGCCTTATATGAAACAGGTTGAACCAAGTGGAATTTGATGTACCGATGTGTGAGGGAAGGAGACAAGAGCGGCTTTACCTGATTGGAGACTTTTCCTCCTCGGCTGAGTTCTTTGTCACCATTGCTGTGTTTTCCTTTCTGTACTCTCTGCTGGCCACTGTGGTGTATATCTTCTTTCAGAACAAGTACCGCGAAAACAACCGCGGACCTCTCATTGTAAGCACTGGTTTCATTTTAGACATCTCTATATCCTCAAATCTTTGTAGACTGTGACTAAGAAAATATTTGATATTTCACTGCAAAAAATTATATTCTTACTTGGATATTTTTTTTGTCTTGTTTCTAGTCCAAATATCTAAAAAACCTTATATCAAGAAGCATTTTCGAGGCAAGCAAAACATATTATCTTGTTTTCAGAAATAATGTGCAAAATTTTCCTTAAAACGAGCAAAATAATCTGCCAATGGGGTAAGCAAAATAATCTTATGTCAAAAGGAAAAACAATATTATTTTGCTTACCCCACAGATTATTTTGCTTGTTTTAAGGAAAAACACTTAATTTTAGCATAATATTTCGCAAAACAAGACAATATGTTTTGCTTGTGTTGAAAATTCTTCTTGACTTAAGAAATTTTTGATATTTGGACTAGAAACAAGACAAAAAATCTAAGTAAGAAAATCATTTTTTGCAGTGTAGAGATAATTGATAAGACATGAGCTGGGGTCTTCTCATTTATAAACCTTTGCATTGTAACCTTTCTAAAAGTAAGTCAATGTCCCAGAATTAATATAAATGTATTTGTTAATGGTTATGATTCATATAATGATTTAAAGTGGTTCATCTAAGAGTTCACGTAGTGTTTACTTATCACTGTTTACATTCTCTCATCAAGTTTGTTTTTTATAGTTCATAGCCTTTGCATGGGTTTCCACTACGTTTTCTGCCTACGCCATGTTTATATATGAGACCCCTGGTGTGTTCACACTTGATACATTTGGTCCTGGTTTGCACTGTTGTATAAACTCATGCTTTTATGATGTATAATTTGTGACTGAACTTATTAAACATCCAAAATAATGCTTCACTCTTAAGAATGAAGGTTACAAAATAGCTTTCACAGTAGTACCATGAAACAACCGTAAAATGACCTTTTAGTTAACTGTTCACTGTTGAAAAGCATTTAAAGCAACTGTTTCAGTCAAAATATCGTTTTAAAGATTTCAGTCTACTGTAAAAAATCATTTTGGGGAAGTTAAAAGTTCTGTATATATTACAACTTGTAAATTGTGTAAAAAGAAGGTTTGAGCATTCTGCCCTTTTTATGTTTTTATTTTTGTATCCTGTGACATCTTTTTGGTACATCTAGATTTGTATGCTCCATGTTGTGCTCATATTTCAGACCAAGACCAAATCTTTTCAGAGGTCTAGGTCAGTTTACTTAGTTTGGATGTTCACACTAGAGATGCGCGGATGGGCTATTATTTCATCCGCAACCGCATGACAAAATTCATCATCCGTCCGCCATCCATCCGCAGTAACATTTTTGACCAATTTTTAAAACCGCACCCGCCCGCCATCTGCTGATTGGGCTCTTTATTTGAATGGCTTATTCCTTTTTTTTAATTAAATTAATGTTTCTTTATTGATCATTATATAATAGAGAATGACTTTAATGTAGACATGCAGTTAATCCAAACGTGCAAGTCATTAATTGACGACGCTTTGAAGTTACGCTAAAGATACAAGGACGTGTCTTTTTACTTGATTCGATTCCTCGGTCATTCAGTCTTTTCCTTGCGTCCTTCCCTCGTAACGTTATCCCGGTGGGGTGGAAACACGAGGAAAGAAAGCAAGGAAAGGAAACGAGAATGCACAAATAAGAAATGAGAAGCACCCGAGCTCTCAGAATATCAGCAGTGAACTCCGTCTCCAATCGGCGCACAGGGACAAAAATAAATAAATAGCCTAAATTAAACGCACTGTACTGTACAACTTTTTTTTTATTGTAGCCTAATAGAAAACCCATTGACACATCATTTCAACATGCTGCTATTTAGCCTACTACTAAATGCCTATTTCACTTTATTTTTTAGTAAATAGATAGAATAATAGCCTAAGTCATTTACATTATAGCCTAATAATGTTTACATTTGTAGTTGTCCATAGCAACCCCAAAAACGTACCTGCTTGCCTTGCACATCTAATTAATGGGCACAGTTTTTCGACTATTTTTTATTTTTTGCTGTGGATGTTATTGAGCTTGTAGAAATTGGAAACAACAAAGTTCTGCGACACAGATGAACCTTTATTGATATCTCTATCAGACAATACCTATTTTATATGCCAAAAGAAACAACAGGCAGTAAAAAAAATATTAACATAAATATCCTAATGTAGGCATAGGCTATAGTCGCATGCTTTGGCAAACAGTTGAAAAATTTTTAATAAAAACGTCATATCGTGCCTAAGCCTTGTAGGCTCAGTCACCCCCACAATTAGAAATTAAATTAGAAAAATAGATATGCCATCCCTCTTTGAGCGAACCTGACCAGGCTAAAGTGCATGTATGACAAGTGCCCCAATAACCCATGGACTTAGGATCATCCCCATTCCCCTCAAACTTGAAGCATAACGAAATACTACGCCATTAAATTTGCGACAAAGAAATTCTGGCAAAATAACCTTAGCCTCGGAACGTAAAAGCGAGGCCAACATGTCTAGAATAGAATAGGCTAAACCAATATGAACGTAAAATTATCAGCTGACCGAACTCAAAAGTTTATATTAAACATATGTGTAGCCTAAATAACATAGGCTAATTGGTTTAATATGCCTGACCTTGGGTCTAGTTTTATTTTTTCTTAGCACAATGCAGGAATAAAATAGCATCTACAGTGTCAAGATTCAGACGGGAGTGCCTGCATAGCCACTATAATGCGCCCTGCTGCACTGAAGGAGCGCTCGCTCGCAGCGCTTGTTGCTGAAATGCATAGAATTCTCTTGGAAAGGTGCTGTAGTCGTGGGAATGCCTGGCCTTATTTCTCCCAAAAGGACGTAGATTTTCCTCTGCTGATCCGTCTATACGGAAGTTTGTAGAGGAATACTTCTGTACACTTCATCCAGAATTAGTGTATCCGATTCCTCCTCCCATTCTGTGAAGTCAGTCCTAGGCTTTTTCGTTGGTGCGCCAGCTATGAATATAAAAACAGTACAACCGCCTGCCACCCGCCCAAATTGAATTAAAATATTATTTTTTCGTAACGTCATCTGCCCGATCCGCGGTTTATCCGCGGAGTCCGCGGCTATAACCGCCAACCACGCATCTCTAGTTCACACTATGTTGAAATAATCTGAACTAACACAGGAATTACGTTATGTTAAAATTACTTCTGATGAATCATCCTATTATGTAAACCATATTAATTTAGTTTAAAGAAACAGTTCACCTAAAAAAATCCAGTTCATCTAAAATTAATTTTATCTTACTGTTTGTAAATTATGTAATAAACTACATTCATGTCGAATTTACACTCACCAGCCACTTTATTAGGTACACCTTTCCAACTGCTCGTTAACACAAATTTCAAATCAGCCAATCATCGGCAACAAAATGCATGTAGGCATGTAGACATGGTCAAGACAATCTGCTGCAGTTTAAACCGAGCATCGGAATGGGGAAGAAAGGTGACTTTGAATGTGGAATGGTTGCTGGTGCCAGACAGGCTTGTCTGAGTATTTCAGAAACTGCTGAGATACTGGGTTTTTCACACACAACCATCTCTAGGGTTTACACAGAATGGTCCAAAAAAGACAAAATATCCAGTAAGCGACAGTTCTGTGGGCACAATTGCCTTGTTGATGCCAGAGGTCAAAGAAGAATGGCCAGACTGTTTCGAGCTGATAGAAAGGCAACAATAGCTCAAATAACCACTTGTTAAAACCGAGGTAAGCAGAAGAGCATCCATGAGCGCACAACACATCAAACCTTGAAGCAGATGGGCTACATCAGAAGAAGATTAAACTGAGTTCCAATCCTGTCAGCTAAGAACAAGAATCTGAAGCTACAATTCACACAGGCTCACCAAAATGGGAGAGTAGAAGATTAGAAAAACGTTTACATAGTCTGATCAGTCTCTATTTCTGCTGCGACATTCGAATGGTAGGGTCAGAGTTTGGCATCAACAACATGAAAGCATGGATCCATCCTGACTTGTATCAACAGTTCAGGCTGCTAGTAGTGGTGTAATGGTGTGGGGGATATTGCCTTAGCAAACTTTGGGTCCATTAGTACCAATTGAGCATCGTGTCCAGTCCACAGACTACCTGACAGTGTTGTGCTAGTTACTTCCAAACTGTAATACATTACAGATTACTTGCTACTGTTATTTAAAAGTAATCCCTTACATTACAATATTACTGTCTCAGAATTGTAATTTGTTACATGACTCTTAAATTACTTTTTAGTTACTTTCACCAAAATAACTACAGAATTAGAACTTAACATTCTAAAATGACAAAATGTACAGCAGAGCATTTTACATCCAGTAGAAAGCGATATGATGTAGCAGAATGACTTTGACCTATCCAGGCTACTAACATTATAGTATATAATTGGCAATGTGAAGGCTCAAGACAATGTAAGAAAGGATGACAGCCAGAATCACAAATGATCTAAGTCTGTTAAAAGTATGGTAGAGGTAAAGTGATTATCTGGCAATATCTGTGAATAGCTTGACTATATTCATATTAGACACAATATGACTATATAAAAACCAATGCCATGACAAGATACAGATTTTTTTTTTAATTGTTGCCATTATTCTATTTACTTTGAATTCAAGTGCTTACAACCCAAAACTGTCATGCACAAAGTGACCATGATGAACAGCTTTTTCAATATTATGCTTGTGCACTGATTTCCTCTGTTTGTGGACAAAACTGCTTGTGAGCTCTCAAATAAACGCTACTTGCACTCAAATTTTCTCACACTCTCTTAAATATGCACTGCTCATGCGCAAATTTTCCTGCGCACTCTCAGTACACTGCTCGCTCAGTGAGATTATATGCAGTCTAACAATTTGTGTCTTGTGTTCCCTCTTCTATTTATGCTTTTTGATATGATTTATATTGGAGCACTATTTATTAACAATAACCAAAATACTAAAATAGACTTACATATTACAATTTTAAGATTAGAGTTTAGCTGAAATCTAACAGTACTGTGATCCGGGCTGAGCCAATAGCCTTAGACCTCAAGCTCGGAGGCTGAAATCATTTCACATTCAAAGTAAAAAGTTCCAATAGCCAGAGGGAGATTAATGACAACACACACGTATGTTCACTAACCATAAACAGGAAATAGAACTGCTGTATTTTAATTTGTTAATGTCTTGCTGGGGAAAAGTTTGTTGTAACACAAGCATTACTGAACATGTACTGAGTAAAATATTACTGAAAATGTATTAGTAATACCTAACACTACTGCGATATAGGAAAATGTAATACATTACTGTAATACATTACTTTTGTAACTCATTACTCCCAACACTGCTACCTGAGTATTGTTGCTGACCATGTCCATTCCTTTATGACCACATTGCACCCATCTTCTGATGGATACTTCCAGCAGGATAATGCACCATGTCATAAAGCACGAATCATTTCAGATTGGATTCTTAAACATGACAATGAGTTCACTGTACTCAAATTCCATTCAGAGTCACCAGGTGTCAATCCAATAGTGCACCTTTGAGATGTGGTGGAACGGGAGATTCGCTGCATTGATGTGCAGCCGACAAATTTGCAGCAACTGCGTGATGTTATCATGTCAATTTGGATTAAATATGGAGAAAATCTCTGAGGAATATTTTCAGTATCTTGATGAATCTATCCCACAGAGGATTAAGGCAGTTCTGAAGGCAAAAGGAGGTCCAACACTGTACTTATAAGGTGTACCTAATAAAGTGGCTGGGAAGTGTATTTTCAGGTTAATGGGCTTTCTAGCCTATGTCCTACACTCACTGCAAGTAAATCCATATAGATTTGTGATAGGATGGTCATTTTTTTATTCAAAATAGTCCAGATTTGCTACCATTGATTAGGTTTTTATTTTTTTTATTAATGTGTTTAATTTAATCCTTCTTTTTTGCATGAAAGAATACTACTGCAGTGCTTGGCATAATAGTTTTTTTTTAAATGAAATACTGGACCAAGCATGATTATTTCACAATAAATAAAAAGGAGAAATGACAAACCTTTTAAGTGCTGACAACCATTTACACTTGTTTTATAAATTACTAAGAAACACAATTTTTTTCTTTTTACATTTACATAACTTACCTGTACCATGTATTCTTGATGTTCTCCAGGACTTCATAGTGACGGTGGTCTTCTCCTTTATGTGGCTAGTGAGTTCTTCTGCCTGGGCTAAAGGTCTTTCGGATGTGAAGGCGGCCACTGATCCGGATGAGGTGGTTCTGCTCGTGTCTGCTTGTAAAGTTCAGACCAACAAGTGCAGCTCATTGTACGGACCACGATGGTCTGGCCTCAACACATCTGTGGTAAGAAATTATATATAAAGATTTCACCATTCTAGCCACATTTATCAGCTGTATTTGTGTTTTTGAGTCCAAATGTCAGAATCATTTTTAAGTCTGGTTACAAGTGCATCCAGTTCATTTAAAATTAAAGTCCAAGTCCACCACTGCATTTAAGTCATTTAAAATCCTGTAAAATTAGGCTACAGGGGTGGTCCACTATGATATCATATTTTAAACTTTAGTTGATGTGTAATGTAGCTGTGTGAACATAAACAACATCTCTGAATGTAAAAAGTTCTAAGTTCAATGCAAAGGGAGACTTTGGGTTTTACAGAGTTAGCTTAGCAAAGCCTACAATGAACGAATTTTGGGCACTACAAAAAATACTTCCGCCCCCTCTGAGATCACAAAGGTTCATTACTGCGCATCCAAACTGAGCAGGTAAGAGCCGTGGCCAGAGGCACTGTAACGTTATAGCAGATATGAAGCTAAAAATGCGTCTAAACGCATTTTCCTCAGAGCTTCGTCTGTTTCTGTATTTGGGCTTCTAAAGGACACGACACAAAGACAGAAGTGCTTTAAGTTTAATATTAATTATGTTCCAGAGAATTATAAAATACACAGCAAGCATGATTTGACAAAACAGCTCCAGAATCTCTCCCAATTCAGTGCTGGATTCGGCTAAAATCTCCTCAAAGCAGAAGCTGTAAGCTACAACCAGTAAGTGTTTTTATTAGTTAAAATAGATCGTGACATGTACAGTGTCTAGCGTTAACGGTATACTGTAGCAACGCTGTAAACAGTGCGAAATGCTGCTTTACGGGCAAATGATTTAGCTACAAATCCATATTTATCAGTCAAACTGCTGTAAACACACACACACACACACTCCACCAGCACGTTCGTGTCTCTTATGTGTGTGCGCGTGTGACTGCATTGATTGTCTTCAGGCAGCTTTTCCATGCGTTTCACATCTCAGATAATCAAGTCGCAAAAGATATGTGGATGATTCATATTACTTACACCTGCATATTCCGGATACACGTGAACGACGTCGTGTAATGCATAGAGTTAAAAAAAATACAGGTTAGCTTACCTGACTCGTGGTAGCAGCAGAATAATAAATCAAGGCTCACACAGGTCGCATCCCACATCTTGTGCTTTATTCTTCTGTCACGATATATTACAGAAAATAACTTAATCCGAGCATCAGAGAAAAAGAAATTCCCGCGCACATGCGCTTGCTAAAGAAAGTTCACACATTCACACACACATAGAAGCACACAACATTCACACCACACACACACATAGACACACACGCAAACGCTCTTAAAGGAGCCGCACCCAATTTTCACTCATTACAGACACTTGTCAGATTTTATTTTAGAGCAGGCAGGAGGTTGACTGATTGTTTACACAGTAGAAAAGCGCGTGCTTTTACGGGCGTGACGTGGAGTTGATGCGCAAATAGCAGCACATTATGACGATGACCAATCAGAGTCACTTAAGGGCGGGCCTTTCAGAGGAACTAGGAAATTTGACGGTTGTTTTCATGTAAGCTGAGTAGCTGTGTATAATCAAAGTGAGATTTATGAAAAAATAACGCGATTTCCTTCAACTGAAACATGAGCACACATTGCTTTGCATCTTATAAACACAACCAAGCCTTAAAATTACATTCTGGACGACCCCTTTAAGTACCACTATATATATATGCTATAAATAAAATAAACATTACCTTAAAAAAGTTATAATCCTAGTTTAAATGAACCTTTCAACATTAATAGATTATTTTAGTAATGTGAACAATGAACTGTTGTTTATTTGTTGTTGTTTATTTTAATTGTTGTTTATTAACTGTCAGCAGTACTGTAACAAATGTATTGTTTATTGTTATTCATTCATTCATTTTCTTGTCGGCTTAGTCCCTTTATTAATTCAGGGTCGCCACAGCGAAATGAACCGCCAACTTATCCAGCATGTTTTTACACAGCAGATACTATTCCAGCCGCAACCCATCTCTGGGAAACATTCACACATACACACATATGCTACAAACAATTTAGCCTACCCAATTCACCTGTACCGCATGTCTTTGGACTGTGGGGGAAACCGGAGCACCCGGAGGAAACCCACGCAAAGGCAGGGAGAACATGCAAACTCCACACAGAAACGCCAACTGAGCCGAGGTTCTCACCACCGACCCAGTGACCTTCTTGCTGTGAGGCGACAGCACTACCTACTGCGCCACTGCTTCGCCCTTGTTTATTGTTAGTTACTGTTAATTAATTGACTAAATAATGTTAATAATGTTGGACTTCGTTTACAACAAATGCAATAAAAAGGACAGAAGGACACAAGAAATTTACTAATTAATTTGTAAATAAATGAAGAAACTATTAAACTATTATTAAAATTCACAATAGTATTTCTATAATACTAAAAAACTCTGACATCAACATTCTGCTCAATTGACATATTTTTCATGTGTTTATTACATACCTCCTTAAAAGTGTACAAGTAAGAGACTGTAAAATGTTTACATACCATTTCTAAAACAACAATAACCTGGAGCTACGTTATTTTGTTGTATTTTCATTTGTGTTTTATTTTTATTTTTCACTTTTAATTTTAATCTGACACTTTTTAGTTTTAAATGTGTCCATATAGTTATACTGATTTTATTTTAGTTTAAGTCATTTTAATACATCAAGCTAAACTAAATAAAAATGAGAAATGTTGACCTGGCAACTATGGGAATGTGAATTCATTTTATTTCAATAAACGTTTATTTTGTAAAACTACTTTTATCTTTTCAAAAAGGCTAATTAACAGATGTGTTTGAATAGAAATTGCTTTAACATTAATATTGTAAATTTAGGTTCAACAATTGCCAAAGTTTTCCATTTTTATTTAAAGGGCACCGGCACCTATTTTACCATTTTTTCAAGATTTAATATAAATCTTTTGTGTCTCCAGAATGTGTGTAAAGTTTCAGCTCAGAATAACCATCAGTTTATTTATTAAACCTTTTTCAAATCTGGGAAATTTGAGCTGTTATGGCATTGTAGCTGTTTTTGTTGCCTGTGCGTTTAATGCAAATGAGCTGGTTCTCCCCGCCCACTGTTCTCACATACGTGTCAGAGCCACGGAGATCTGTCTGTATTGCTCTGATGCATGTTCCCCTCATGTATAAACAGCATAGTGACAGACAATAATGAAGCACACATCCTTTAATACAGTAAGAACTTTCCCAACTGTTATTTGATATATTTGTTGTTGAGTTAACTCAAGCCTTTCTGCAACGATGACTCACACACAATGTTGTTCTAAAGTTGCACACACGCATTTAGCTTTGCACTGTTTTTGCACAGCAAATGTGACAGAATACATGAAATTGCCGCTGCTGTATGGACATACCTTACGTTAATGTATAAAATAAACCTAATTTAATGTCCTGGACTGGAACTGACACTATGCGGCTGTGGTGATGAATTACAGCAATATTACTGTATTTATTACAAACATGCACATGTTTTAAAAATGTGTTAAATTTGTAAATCTTATTTGTGAGGTGTAGATGATCACCGAGAGTTGAATAGATCTTTTAATCCCAGTTGCTTTGTGCAAGTTCTGTCTTGTGGATAAGATTATACACGTTACTACAAAGACATGTTAATACACGTTTGTCAATCAATTTGATGGGTGAGGAAACCACACTCCTATGTCACGTTGCGGTCAGCTTCAAAATGGCAATCCAGGCTCATTCTGAAAGCGTAGTCCCGTAGAGATCTGGAGATCGCGAAATACGTCCTGGGAGGTACATATTTTTGCAGTTTTTGTTTTCGCGAATCCACAAGAGGCCGCTGTTTGCGTTTTTCGTATCTCAAATGTCTCTCGCGAGTGCCGTTTGCGCCTACGCTGTTCTCGCTTAAACCCACCAGAGGCCGCTGTTGAACGACCGTGTCTGACTGACTGAATGAATGACTGGGCGACCGATCAATCAACTGACCCACCCTCCTTCCTTTACCCCAAGCAATTTTACCGATTGACCCACCCACCCGCTTTCTTCCCTAAACCCAACCAACAATTTACAAAAGCCGTGCAGAAAAAGAAAGGTCCTCATCTGATTTTTACCACGTTTTTTGGTTTTACCACATTCTCACCCTGTTATGAACTTGTTCACTTTATTTTTTGGAATCTGTTTTTGTCTTACCTGAGTTCTGGAACCGCTCTTCCCCGGACTTAAACCCGGTCGTCATCGTTGTCATTGTCAGCTTCTCTCTGTGTCTCAATTCCGCCGACGCACATGATGAGTTAACTGGACAAACTGGTTGCGGTGGAAAAGCCCTCCACACGGAGGTAAGCTGTTAGCTAGTAAGCGAGAAAAGGAACGTGCCGTAGCATCCGCTTAGAAAATGAAATGCAGCCATACGTACCTCCGGCTCGATAATTTGCGGTCTCCAGAAACGTCCACGGGACTACGTTTTCAGAATGAGCCTGGGTTGGAACATGGGATGGATTTGGATCCTATTTTAACATCAGAAAATTTTTAAAAAGAGACTTATTGTGTTTTTATCACCCAGTATGACTGTGGACACACTATTCTTACACACAGTTCTGTCCAATCAGCTTACAAAAGATGATTTTCATCAGATGCCCTTTAAATGCCTTAAGCATAGAACTATACTTATCTCTTAAATTAATCAAAGAATGTTTGTTTCCCCCCACAGGTATTCGGCTATCTGAACTTCGTGCTGTGGGCTGGAAACATCTGGTTTGTGTTTAAAGAGACCGGATGGCACAAGGGAGGCGCAGCAAGATATCCAGCCTCGTCCTTAGAAAAACAAACCACGGCCTTCAACCAGCAGGTCTACAACCAGGGCAGCTTTGATCAATCTGGAGCCACTTTCACTGGAACAGGGGACTTCGCCCAGTCAGAGTACAGTCAGGTGGGCAATTATTCCTCAAGTGGGCCCATTTCCTACACCAACCAGTAACCCCATCAGCCTCATCACTATCCCCAACACAGGGGACCCATTTCTAAGGGCAAATTCGACATTGAGCACAAGAGAAAGTGGAAGAGTTTAGTAAACAGATTTCTGATTCTAGGTAAACCCAGACTTGTTTGTCCAGGCTACTAATATGTTTTTAAAAATTAATGACAGGGATCTTTTGATGTATTGTATGTTTTTTGACTTTACCTGTCTGTAAATGTTATGGAAAAATCACTGTTTACTCTGCAAATCTCATTACATCCATACTTTAGACTCGCTCACATGGGAAATCCATTAATTTAAATGGGTATCTTAATGTTTGTGTTGTGTCACTATGACCATGTATTTTTTAGAGCCCATTTGTGATCTAAGTATTTCTGCTTCATTTCAAACTTAATCGACTCTTTTGCAAAACCTTATAATATTACATATCATCAAATGCTTCATAGATGCTTTTAAAGGAACATGAATGAATATAACTTCCTTCATATTTGACATAGGGTGGCCATAACTGATATGAACTTTGCTGAAATGATTTATCCATCGATTAACAACACCATGCATCGATATGGGAGAAAGCAAGGCAATTTATTAAAATTTTATCAAAAGGTCACTAAGACTTTTTTGGGGGGGGGATAACATTCACAGTTGAATAGTCCACAATAAGAGCAGAAACATTAAAGAGTTTGCATCAAAATTAAAATCAATTATTATTCCTTGCAAAATTACAAAACCTTAAGACTTTTGTTCATCTTCAGAATAGAAAGGCTTTGGTCTCTCCGTTAATATGCCTCAAAAAGTCTAAAAATAAATCTAGATGAACCAAGCAATCAAAAACTTATTTAAAAAATATAAAAGGACTCATTTATATGACTGCATTTACAACTAAATAGATTTTTTTATTCATTTTACAAACCAATCCAAAAAAACTACTTTTAAAACATTTGAAAAAAGATTTCAAAATCTTTCAAAATGATTTGTTATTGTCTTCAAGTGAACACTTTTCAAAAACACAAAGGAAAAACGTTATAGTTTTTAGTACGTCTCTGTCATGTAAACTCATCTCATGGGTTTGATATGACATGAGGTTTATTAACGATAACAAAATGTTCTGGGCTGAACTAACTCTTTCAGGAAGTATATGGGATATGTTATGATATCATGTTGACTTTTAAGTGTACTTGTCTTAATGGTGATCACCTACATGCTAAAAAGTGCTAGGTTGAATTATACCAAATTTGTGGAAAACATGTGACTCTGGATGTTTTGCATGGGTAAATATGTGGGAATAACCCAAATACACTGGATGAGTGAAAAACGTTGCTTTTTATGCCAAAAATCATTAGAATATTAAGTAAAGATCATGCTTAATGAAGGCATTCTGTAAATATTTCAAAACTCGATTAGTGACATGCATTGTTTAAGCAGTTAATTTAGACATGTTTAAAGGAAATTTCTTCAATATTTAGATTTTTTGTTTACTATCATATTCCAGATTTTCATATAATTGTATCTCGGAACAAATCAAATTTGAACAAAACTTTACAAAGAATAATGTAGTTTCAGGTGATGTATGAAAAAATGACACATATGACTAGTTTTGTGGTCCAGGGTCACATATGGACAACAAAACATGGGTTAAATGGGACCACAAAATATGGGTTAAATATTTAAGTTAAAAATGTTATCTATATTTTATAATTAATCTATGTTTATCCAGATTTGAGGTACAAAAAAATTAACCCAGCACTTTTTTTATAGTGTAGAGAAGGTGATGCAGGTATTTGTAATTTACACTATTTGACAGACTTTTAAGTTTTCATTTGTCAGTATAGATGTTAGATTACTGTTAATCTGCATATTTTTGGATTTCTTCTCCACCTGAATAATGTCATGCCAGTGGTTGTTGGTTTGGTGTTTGCACTTTTGTGTTTCTGCATTTATATGGCTCTTAAATGTTTGCACTGTATTGATGAGCTGCATGAAGTTGTGCCATATTATTAACCCAGTTTGAGTTTGTACATAAATTTTCTCCTCACTATATCAGGGTCATATGCAACCCAGGCTCATTCTGAAAACACACCACTATATACATTTCTGGAGAAAGCCAGATACGTCCCAGGAGGTATGTTTTTTTTTTCAGTTTTTGTTTTCACAAATTCACCAGAGGCTGCTGTGTACTCTTTTTCAGATCTCAAATTTCTCTTGCGAGTGCCATTCACACCTGCTGTTCTCACGTAAATCCACTAGAGGCCGCTGTCGACTGACTGAATGAATGACCGATAGACTGACCCACCCACCTCTCTCCCTAAACCTTCCCTAAACTTAGGGCTTAATTTGTGCCAAAACAAGCACCTCTGAAATCCGATCCGGCCCCTTATTTTACTAATCCCCCTCCACACACACACCCCTGCTCTTAACTTTCTTCCGCAACTCTCCAACCCTCTTCACTTTCGTCCGCATTCTTCAGCAATTTGCCATCCCCCTACCCATCCCCCCGGCCTCTTCACTTTCGTTCTCGACTCCTAAACCCCTGCCTAAAGCCAACCAAGCATCAATTGTCCTTGTCACCCACTTCCCTAAACCCAAAAAACAGTTTTAAAAAAACATTCAGAAAAAGAAAAGCCCTCGCCTGATTTTTACCACGTTTTCAGATTTTTCCACATTCTCACATTCGCTTTTTGGAACCGTTCTTCACCAGATTCGATTCCCATCATTACAGTCAACTCCTTTCTGCGTCTCAAGTCTGCCGATGTACATGGCAAGCTACTGGACAAACTGGTAACAGCCGAAAAGCCATCCATATGGAGGCTAGCAGTCAGCTGGTAATCGTGAAAAAAGGAACAGTGTCGTACCGCACCATATGGTTCATTTTACTGCCGAAATGCAGCCAGAAGTACTTCTGGCTACCTAATTCGCAATCTCCAGAAATGCATGTAGGGGTACATTTTTAGAATGAGTCTATGTTGGTCATATTGTCTATTCTGTGACCTTTATTATGATCACAAAGTGATTGAAATACAATCAACGCATCATTTCTTTGCTTGTGTTCGCTTGCTCCTCGTCTGATCCTTTATAAACGCATGAGGCTTTATTAACTACAAAGACTATAAAATGAGACAAAAAACTGGTAATGTTCTTGTTCTGATTGCTGTTGCATTTCAATGTGAACGGGTTTCTGTCTTGATATGTTAAGTGTATGCATTTTTGATCAGTGGGTGTGAATGCTTTGATGCATTTTGTGTAAAGCCAATAAAGATATTGTACATTCCTCTAGGCTGAACTCATTGTGTTGATGAATCTTCAGTCCACAACAATAAATCTGCTGTTTCAGCAAACAATGCCGGAATTGTGCAGAGGAATTTGATGACTGTCTGACTGCCATTAAGGTAAATAAGGCAGTAATCAGATCTGTTAATCGGGAGCAGAAGGTGCAGTGTACAAGACCTCGCTTACGTAACATTTGTCATGACAGTTTATGTTTTTATTTAAGCCAAGTTTTTGGGTCTATAGGGAAATTGACATTCAAAAGTGAACCTACGTTGAGAAATATTTGCATATTAACTAAAACTAGATATTTCTTGCTCAAGTAAAAATATTCAATTTATATACAAATCTATAGGTAAATACAAATCTCACGTTTATATCTGGATATTTAAATTATTTTAAAGTACATTATATATAAATTCTTATATACAGTGACTTTATCATTAAAATGTTTAACCTTATGAATATAAGCCCTCACAGGTCTTTTGTTTAATCCTCATGTCGTGCTCCCCTCCAACCCCTTACTTTATTATTCCTGAGCAGTTTCTGCTCTTAAATTGCTCAAAAAGCATTCTTTAGCTGTGAACAATTAATGAATAATGAATTTATAGATTAAATGTACTAAATTAATTTATACATAAAATTTCTGCAGTGAAAATAAAAATAGGCACTGAAAATGTATTACAAAATGAACATGTAATGTCATGGAGGTAACCACGTGGGAAGATCGGCATATAAGCATGGAAAAAAGATGTGTATCCACAGAAGACATTGTTCAGTCTGAAATGTGTGTGCGAGTGAGTGAGTTGGGCTAGTGCGTAAGGGGATTTTTTTTTTTTTTTTTAATGGTTGAATATAGTCTGGATACCCATTCATTTCCTACGGTGGTCACATTTGAGCGGGAACAGCACAGGTGTAACACAGTTGATTAAAACACTCAAAATTCAATTAAAGAGATGATTGTCATGTTTATCAGTTCAATCAAGTGCATAGTGTGGAGTGTTTAAATCAGGGGTCACCAACATGGTGCCCGCGGGCACCAGGTAGCCCGTGAGGACCACATGAGTTGCCCGTGGGCCAGTTATAAAATTAGCTTACCATAGCACCACATACCAGTAAGCTGCATCTAATATTTTTTGTAGCTATTCTTTTTAAATCACACTTGCATTGGTTGATATTTATCTGTTTCCAATCATTGTTGACAACTATCGTGAGAAATTAACATGATCCGTATCTTCAAATAGATGAATATCATTAATTATTAATAACAAATAATTTAAAGTAAATTGAGCAAATTTGTTATTAGGAGGTGTGTATCAAACTGGTAGCCCTTCACATTAAACGATACCCAAGAAGTAGCTCTCAGTTTCCAAAAGGTTGGTGACCCCTGGTTTAAATTGTAAATCTGTCAGATTTGACCCAAACACAACAGGAAGGTTAAATAATAAATTCTATAAGATGCTTTAAAATAATATATTTGTGCATATACATTAGATTAGTCAGTACCAAAGCCAAAACTAGAAATAATCTAACAAACAACTTACGATCACAGTCTAAAAATGCGTACACCCAATTAAATGTTTATAAAAAATATAGAATTTACTTGAAATTTTGTTGTTGTTTTTTTTTGCCTTAATTTGTTTAAATTTAATTGTATTATCTTTCTATTTCTACACTGTAAAAAAAATAATTGAACAATGAGTCATGACAGTATATGTTTTTAATTCATTATACTAAACTACTTATATTAAACTAAGTTAATCATAATTTTCTGTTATGGAAGCTATTTTAAGACAGTTTAATATAAGTTCAATAGACAATAAATTGAAGCCAACTAGGATTTTTTTTACAGTCTAAATATTTTAGTGGATAAAACTAGGGATGCAACGATACTGATACCAGTATCGGGTCCATACTTGGTGAAAATACTCGTACTCGTATTGTACATGAAATGCCAACACCACGCACCGATACCACTCAACAGTATTTCACTATGTGGGTGTGATTTGTTGTCCCACCTGACTTCAATGTCTTAATGTATTATACAATAATAGCGGATTACTTTTAAACAATCCATGTATAAAATACATTATTAATGAATCTATAGGCTACTTAAAAATAAACCGAATATGCGATATGATCCTTGCATAATGATCACAACGAAACATTATATATATAAACTATAAATATAAAAAATGAAAGATATTTTAAGTAATTAAACTGTTATACAGTAGACTACAGGCTAAATAAAAGCATCTTGTCACATCTGAACATCACAGTGGTCACCGCGCGTGTGTCTGTTGACACATAGAAGAGGTGCAGACCAAAACGCAAAAAGGTCAGGCAAGCAATGATCACAATCAGGAGCAAACAGATGTATGCAGGCAAAATCGTGGTCATTAAACAGGCAAGCGGTCAGTACAGGTGGCAAGGTATCAAAACGAGAAAACAAAGCAAAGATCAAACACGGAAGGACAATACCAGGAAAACGCTTATGGTGTTCACAAACACATATAAACAAGACTCAGCACTGAGGTGTGCGTATGTGTGTGTGCTGTATTTAATGTCCATCTAATCAGTCTTTGAGCAGCTCCCAACTGTGTGAGTGTAATAAATCGTGATCTGGAACAAGTGCATGTGTGTGCGCGCGCGTGTGTGTGCGTGTGTGTGTGTGTGGTGCATGACTGAAACTTGTAATCCATATCCCAGCAGATTTTTAGTCCGCTAGCGATCTGCACAGGCATGATCGCTGGTGACCGTGACATCTTATTACAGCTTCTGTAAAGATCCACCTATAGATGACAGAAGACACAATCTCAATAAGCACTTGATGCTTGCTGTCAACTAGGCTACATTTAAGTTCAGTCTTTATGACAAACTTGTTTCCTTTTCAATATATAGTCTATATTTTCTTTGAAAATATCTGATCTGTAATACCACTATAATCCCTTTCATTGAAACCAAATCTAAGAGGTATCGAAATCGGTACTCTTTATCGGCAAGTACACAAATAAAAATAATCAAACTCGTAACGTTTTTTTAAAAAGTGTCGGTTCATCCCTAGATAGAACTGTTTAATACAACTGTTTTGTTCAAAAGCATCAACATATTTTGGCTAAATTCACTGAAAAAAAATATAAAAATGTACTCATTTATGCTAAGCACTGTATTTTTAAGTGTATTTTCAGGTGTTCAAATGCTCAGTGAACAAAATGCTATTTAAAATGTTTGCCATAATATACTAATTAATAGTATAGTGCTTATAGTATCGTTATGATCATAGCTTTCAAGATTATCGTACCTTTTTTATAACAAGGTAAGTGTTAAGGTACAATTGCATGTGGTGTATTTCTTCTAGAAGCCTAATTTATTCACAAACTATTAATTCGTTATACTGGTTGAAGTACTTCCTTAACCTTAAAAGAACTCTTGAAATTAAAATGATTCACATGCATTTACATTTTCAAAAAATAATTTTCAAATCTCTACGAAACGGAAAAACACATTTCTAAGAACTCTCCACAGATTTTTAAAAAGCCTTTTCTTCCTCCGTATATGGTGGACACTCTTTATGTCAGTGACCCTTCTATCAACCAGTACAAAACCTGAATTGGTAGGTTTACTTGCCAAAAATGCAAGCTGCAACATTTGTGACTTTTTCAAAGATGCATCTAGCAAAGCTCAGGTACTTCACACAGAGTAATGTGAGCATAAATGTTCATCGTGAGTGAATGGATTGCCAATAGCAGGCCATTCTGACCCAGTCCTAATCTAATGTTCCAGCGTTACAGCGAACTGGTTTGACTTCTTTTCATGCACATCTCAGTACAGATTGAAAAGATTTAGAGAAGGGGATGAGGAAAACCTTGAGTCTCATTTGCTGCTGTGAAAGCAGAGAGAGTGACCTCTGGGCATTTAACCTGCTTTAGAATAACTGACTTGTGCAGATTTCTTTCAGCATGATGTTGAAGACGTCGGAATTCAAATGCATATTTTAAGGTAAAATGAGTCAGAAAGTGCCTTTTTATTTAATTTGTAGTGTCCTCTGAAATCTACTAATAATATAAATCTAATAATAACATTTCTTACATTAAAAAAGCTAAATTTAGAAGTGATGAGCTGTTTTGACAATCCTTATCTTAACACACTGTTTGAATAGATGTGGCTAATTGTAGACTCTACAAAAATAAAAAAAATAGCAACTAATTTAATTGGCTAACAGAGTTCCATATTTGGCTTTTCAAATGTCCAATACAGTTGATTTTGCTGATGTAACCTTCTGCATTTGTAATGGACGGTCTTTAATCAACATTTGAAGTGGATCAAAAAAGTTTCAAAATTGTCCAAAGACAAGAATGGGTGTTGTTTAGTAGTTTTAGGACAACTTTAAAGTAAGGTTTGCACCACGTTAAATGTTGACTACTGCACATCCTTCATAGACACTGCAGTGATTTAGGTTAAAAACATCTTAAATACTGGATACATGCCATAGCAAATAATATGTAATAGTAGACAAAGCATTAGTGACTATGTGATAAAAACAGTTACTCGCATTTGTGTGGTGCAACATTTCTGTTGTGTCTAATATGATACAGTGTTTTGCTCAGTTTGGTCAGTTATCCATATGTGCGGCCTTTTTGGAGATACTTGGGTGTAAACACCAGCATTGGAGTGCATGGTAATTACATAGCAATTTATGCTGTCTAAACCACAGAATATTGTGTGGAAGCTGCTGAGTCATATAAATAACGACTTACTATGCAGGAAAAGGTAAAATATATGTACACTTCCCAGAGACTTTATAAGGTACATCTTACTAGTACTGGGTTGGACCCTTCAGAACTCCCTTAGTACTTTAAGGCATAGATTCAACAAGGTACTGGAAATATTCATTTAAGATTTTGGTCCATAGTGACATGATAGCATCACGCAATTGCTGCAGATTTTTTCGACTGCATGTTTTTCCACTCTTTTATTTTGATGAGCCTGTGCGAATTGTCACCTCAG